GTATGTATATATATTATGTTCAGTTAGCTCATTATTAGTCGTCTTATTTTAAATCCTATAAACTTTGGAATGGGGCCAAGGAAGCTGGCCTGCTGGAAGTGTGGGAGCCTGTACAATTAATTAAGAGTCACTGGAGTGTTTCACAGAAACAGATTTTTGGAGCAGGAACAGTAACTAGCTGGGAGATGTAGAGAAGTCTATTTTATCTTCCTCTAGCAGTGCTGAGCACCAATGAATGAGAGTCATTGGTAACTTGTGCATCCTACTGCACTGGTAAGAACTGCATGATACAATGAGACTGACACACGAACTGGCCCAGAATAAATGCTTTGTACCTAGATCTGTGATAAGGCTGAAGTTCATAGGTCTTTTCGTGTGCCATCGGTAGCTCAGTTTGCCTTTTAAATAATGACATTTCTAATAATGAAAGAAGCATCCATATATTAAGTGATGGAGTGACTTATCTCCCACGTGCATGCCTGAGAGGGCCTTTTGTGACAAACAAATAGCAATGGGTGTGTCTCCAGGGGCTTCAGGTCATTCCTGTGTCTCTAAAAGTGAAACAGGTTTCTCTACAGTGCTGGATTTCATACCAGTGAGGCTTGTTGTGTGGCCCAGATTGCTTTAATCTTTTCATAACCAAGAAAGCCTGCTGATGGGTGTATCAGAAAAGAGCAGGCAGATTGGCTTGTACATATGTTGACATACAGGCCTTAAACCAGCAGATAATCTCACGTTATCATATTAATGTGGGTTTGCTTATAATTAGCATATATAATTGTTATTGGTATAACCAGTAGCTAATACTGTCTGTTTAAAAAGCGAAGACAAATTGGTGAGGCAGTCACATAGTGACTTCATTAGCCATTCAACATTCAGTGTCCTCCTTAAAGTCCTTTTATTAATTAATCCTTATGAGGACCCTGTAGTGTAACCCAAAAACATTCTGAGCAGTCGTCTTTTTTAGAAAAGAAGGTGGCAAAGCAAATGTGTTTATCTTTAAGGCCAAGGAGCGGTGCAACTCTGATGAGGATCAGGCCGAGTGTACCACATTTCATGGAGCTTGCATATGAATCTCCTGGAAGTGGAGGATGGAAGTTTGATAAAGCATTTTGGTCACATCTTTTATATGTTTTCTGATGGCTGAATCACGCAAAAAAAATGTTTTATTGGTCTGTTTGTGTAAGACACTGGAATGTGTATAAAAGTTAAGTTTTTCTTAGATGACTGTCTTCTAATGATACACACTGTGCACTTAGCTCTATATGTCCTGCACTAACCTGAAAGACTTCTATGGGGCTAGGGTTTGGTTTTTTTGAAGTTAGTTTCAAAACTCATGCACAGATTTTTGCCCTTGACAGGTGGCGAGGATACTGGAAGTTTCTGAAGAGATGAGGAGGATTATGGGAGTGAACTCTGGTCTTGAACTGATTACATTGCCTTACGGACATCAACTGCGCCTTGACCTAATTGAAAGGTAAATGTTCCTGTTACTCATTTCCAGGGCAGATGGCCAGAAGATCAGAGCATTCCTACACTGTACTCTACATTTCCTCAAAGAATGCTCTCCTGCAGATTTTCTGAATTCATGTGTACAGAAGATAATTTAGTGAGATGGCATATAACTTTTTTTGCATAGCAAAAATTCCTTAAGGTCATAGGGCAACTCCATGCATGTAATAAAGGGAAAGGGGACTTGTATTGAAAGTAGCGTCCTTAGAGCTGCTGAACACCTTAAGAGCTCAGGTAAACTAAAGTTCAGAGGACCTATAATCTAGCTGGGCATGTGCATGTTTGTGGAGAAGACTGAAGGAAGTGTAGTCTTCTGCAACTGGGGAAGGGGCTAGAGGATCTAGTAAAGTAAAAAATGATCAGCAAAGCTTTCCACAAAACTTCCGGAGAAGTTAAGGGGGAACAATTAGGGTCTTCTACCCTGATCTAGCTTTTCTGCTGCTCTGATTCAGATTTCAGTAGTTTGGTTGCTGAAATTTAGGGGGAAGGTCCCAGGATTTGAGTGGGGAGGACAAAGGGAATTGGGGCAATTTCCCCAAAAGTGTTCATTCATTCACTGCTTGAGCAGAATCTTGTATAATAGTACTATCTTTGGAAAATGTATTAAATGAAAACACAAATTCAAAGCCAACGTGTATACCATGTAACAGCATTATGGCTCTTGATACAAAGATGTTGGTAAGAGTAAGTTTGCTGGGCACACCAGGCTATTGAAATACACCTTTGAATTGATCTTCTCTGAACTCAGGTACAGCATAATGTATTACTAACTTAATACTTTGTAACCCATAGTCTGAATTGTTTCACTTACAGGCACAATACCATGGCAATAGGAATAGCTGTGGATATCTTGGGTTGCACAGGAAATCTAGAAGATAGAGCAGCAACATTAAACAGGATCATCCAAGTCGCAGTGGAGCTGAAGGACTCACTAGGGGATTTGTATGCATTTTCTGCCATTATGAAAGCACTGGAAATGCCACAGGTAAAAATCTGTTTCTCTTTGTTCCAAAACATGGAGTTGTTTTTCCTGGTTTGTTTAATTTAATTTACGCAATTTCTTCAAGACTAGAGAGACCATGAAACAGAAACCTCATCACTAGCAGCGTACTTTTTCCTGTGAATTGCTATGGAGTCAATAATGGGTATCCTCTGTTTTGTATGAACAGGTCACTAGGCTAGAACAAACCTGGACCTCTCTAAGACATCATTATACCCAGACTGCCATTACGTATGAAAAACAGCTGAAGCCATTTAGCAAAGCTTTGCATGAAGGACAAGATGAGTGGAATAGTAAGTATAAGCGACACTGGTTTCTACTTAGCCTTTTAAATCTCCCAGTACTGATTTCCCATGTAGGGAGATGAGGCAGCTGCTGTTTTGATAGCTATGCATCATATGTTAAAATGACTACATGAACTTGTATAACGCATTATAAGACAATGAAACAGTCTGCCATGTGCTTGTGTGCATCTACCCATGCAGAATAGAACATTCTTCCCAAACCCTTATGCTCTCTTTGTGGAGCAGAAACTGAAACACTCTGCATCATCTTGGCTCAAAGACAGGAAAAAAAATAATCTCCTTCCTCAGAGAAGAGTTACTTCTGGCAAATTTTGCTTTTTATTTGCTTTGCCTATTGGATCAGAGGATGAATCCTCAATACAAAGATTAGGTTTGTCAGCAAATTCCTCTGATCATGGCACGTGCTCCTGCATCAAGATTCTTTGCAGCTCTAGTCTCCAAAGGGGTGGGGTGCAAGGCAGAGATAACACTTCTCTAAGAGAATGGGTAGAGAAGGAAAACCTTTTATAGCCTCTCACAATTTATTGGAATGACCCAGATTTTAAACCTGTTTAACATCTCTGTGCTACTGGGTAGTGATTTGGCAGAGCCTTCTGTAGCAAATACATTTTTCCAACACTAATTTGTCTTGGCCTTCTCCCCCAACCAGTTCACTGGAAAGTGGTAGGACAGGTGTAGCTGAGGTAAGGTGTTAATTTGAAAGATGGAAGACAAATAATAGTTTCCAACTTTGAAAAGAATACTGCAGTTACAATACCTTCTTCAATTAGCAGGTTTTATAATGTCTGATGATGTGATTTGTTACTCTCCAACCCAGAGACCATCGGAGCTCCGCAGAACAATGTAACAGTGCCACTGCTGATGCCTCTCGTTACCTTGATGGAGCGCCAAGCTGTTGTTTTTGAAGGCATGGACTTGTGGGAAAGCAGTGACCAAAGCTGCGAAATAATGCTCAAGCACTTGGCCACAGCTCGTCAGATAGCACAGAATGCAGAAACGTACAGCTTGACTGCACGACGGATGCTGGAAGGTAGGGAGCACTAGTAGGAAAAACTGCTGCACATTAACAGAATGTGGGGGTTATGTCTGAAGAATAAGGTCTCTGCCTCAATGCCCCTGAAAATCAGTGCAAGACAATCTTCTTCTCTTTCATTGGAGCTGAGATAGTAGCAGATGTCCTGCAGGGAACTCAGTCTGAGGACTACATCAATATTGTTTAAAAGACGACAGTAAATTATTCATCACTATAGTTCTCCAGTAAGCAACAGAGCATACATTTTTGCTAGACGTACTGAAAGTTCTCATGCCTTAATATGCTGACTCTTCTAGCAGCTGAATAGAAGTACAGTAAGGACCAAGGATAACTTCCTGTCTTCTGTACAATTTAAAATTCCTACTCTGATTTTTGTGAATAAAACACCACCCATCATAGTAAGATTCTTTACAGCAGCACAAGGTGCAACACTGAGATCATGACTGCCTGCAGCCAGAAAGCAGCAACATGCTAATAATGTGACTTTATATTTCAAACGCAGTGAAAAAGTTAAGGGAGGGGAGAGAAATACATTTATTTCTGCAGGCAGCATGTATACATCAGTAATTATAAGGTTAGACCATTAGAATTGAGCAAAGGCTGCCTGTCCAAGTGTCCTAGCACCATGGGTGTGCTACTAGAAGGTCACATGGAAAGGATTTTCACTGTTTTACTAGCTTGTTAAAAATCATGGTGCAAAACGAACCCAGCACACTAAAGGTTATCTTACTTGGAGGGAATACAGTTTAAAAGCCATTCCTTCTGAATAACAAACTTGCCTGGTGGTCATATCGCGGGATTCTTTTTACTTACTAGGTTTCCAGCCAGATGAAGAGATGAGTGAAATCTTCAAGACAGAATTTCAAATGAGATTGCTCTGGGGCAGCAAAGGTGCACAAGTCAATCAAAATGAAAGATACGAGAAATTCAGCCAGATTTTAACTGCACTTTCCCGAAAACTGGAACCTCCTCTTGTGAAGCAGGTGGAAAAAATAACTATATAAGACTCTGTAAACACTATTTAAATGATATACTTGAAATAACCTTAGCTTTCTTTTGGCAATTTGATACTGCACAAACTTCTTGCATTTCACAAGATGTTTAGAACTTTTAACTGCACAATGCACGCTTGTTTTAGAACTACTGATTTCTAGACAAATTATTTATTTACTGTGTCACCAAGTCAGTTGATGATCCCTTTAAACAGTTAGGTTATCCCTGTAAGATAGTCTTACAGCTTTTTGTGTTTCCCCAGAGTTGCAATGTTTTGATAATGCCTAGGAGTAAGGGCACTGGCATCTTAATATTAAAATTAAGCAAACAGTGTAATAAAAAAAAGAGCAAATATGTGACATTGCAGAAAAACTGTTGTATAATATTCCTTTAATGAGTATAAAATACTGTACATAGAATTGTGAATTGAAGTGTATCTTTATGCAAAAAAACTTGCGCATTTGCAGATTGCAGAAATACTGCGGATTGCAGAAATGATCCTTTATCTGTGACCACAACAGAAGGCTCAAATATCACTGCACCTATGAAAGTAGAAAATTAGTTGTGTATGTGTTGGGACGACTATTTTGTGGGTTTGTTTCTGTTTGTTGTTTTAAGACAGAATCTGTAGTACTTGGGCTTTTGCTGGAGCCTGCACAACAAACAAACAGCTATGCTGCCAGGAATGAATGACAAAATGGCAAGAACAAACAATCCAGATAATTAAAATGCTTTCAGATAGGAGTAAATGTGGGTGTATGTATATATTAAACTTGCTTCATTTACTGAGGTGAATCACTTTGGTAAGTAGTTTTGTGTTTTGGTTTTTTTTTTCCCTTAGATAAAGGCAAAGCCTAAAGCTGTTAGCACTTTTCATAGGAAATCAGCATGCATGGTGTTTATATAAAGAGTGCTTTAGCAGTAAATTCCACTTTGTCACATAGAGAATTGGTGTATAAGCAGTATCCTCACAAGCTGTATAAAGATTTAAGCAAGAACTATGGTTAGAACTGCATGTGCTCGCTGTCAGTAAGCTTATTTCTGGAGTGAGACGTTACTTACAGCATTTGAAAGTATTTGAGTAGGCTAACAACAAAACCAACTCCAAACTGGTATTAGCTGTTCCTCCCAGGTACAATACAATGGTAGCAGAGCTTCTACCAGCACGTAACAAGAGGTTACAGACCACATACTGAAAGTCTCCCTGTCAATCTCAACAGAAGACAAATGGGGAAGCTAATTAGACCATGAAAAGATTTTTTTTTTTTCTTTTTTTATTCCATGAAAATATTCTCAACAGAGAACACTATTTTTAAACAAAGTATTTAACATTTAGGAAATCAACATGTGCACAAAAAAGGATTAAAAATTACTGGAAAATGTAAGATTCTTTAAGACAACTCACATTCAGAATTTTAGAGTAAGTGATGTATAACTAGCTGTGCAAGTACAAATGTTTTTTTCCTATGTTTAATAACCCTCATACAAGTTGCACTATCCCTCATGAAAGCAACCTGCCTCCAAAGGAAGCAAATCCTGGTTTTAGAAAAACAAACAGTAGCATGAAAAGAACATTTAGTCCTTTACCAGGAAGTGTTATTACTGACCTGCAAGGCTGTTAGCCAGGCAAACCACAGGCCCTTTAGCAGAAAATACATAGATCACATTTCCTCCTTTTCTCTAACTTTAAAATAATAAAGCACTAGATTTAAAAAAAACAAACAAACCAACAACCACCCCCTCCCAAACCCCGAAACCCAAAAAACTACCTAAGTAGTTTTGTCAGTATTGAGTAATGTCACATTATTGTATAAATAACCCTGTATACAAGCTCCAAAAATCTAAACTTTAGAGTTTAATAGCCCCCATAATACACTAGGTCAAGCTGTGTAATAGTGGTATACATAACAAAAGAAATAAACCTCTACACAAGTCATTCAAATTCAGTTTTACTGGTAGTACAGTTCCTAATAACACTGAAATTAAAAAGAATCCAGCACTGCTGCATCCAACTATTGCTTCAGACCCCAGAAAAACAGGATGGTTTGATTATTATTTCATTTCCCCAAACAGCAGGTGGCTGGGTTGACAAGCTTGCTTTGATACAAGTGTCCCTCCCCCTAACATCTCTAGTCTAATTCTTATCACCCTAAGAAATCAGGTAAGATGTAGTTATTAAGAGAACCACAAATGGGAGGCAAGACAACATAAGCGATAGGGGCACTGCAGACAACTATATTTACACGTATAAACATATCCAAATTTCAATTGTTTACAAGTAAAAGTGCACATAGATCATTACGAAGTATCACTCAAATTTCAACTGGTCCATACAATGAAGCATCACCTGGAAATGGACTAGCACTGCAGTAATTAAAATTGGAACTTCATAGTGAAAAACTAAAAGACAGTTTCCATAAAAATATTTTAAAAAATATTGAAGTAAAATGAAGAGATACACGTTTCAATGTATAAAATTCATGATGCACCATGTATCCAGTAAAGTAGAGCTCTAGAAGACACCTACCGTGGCTACCTCAGCAGCTGCAGCACTGTGAAAAGAGACACAAAGCCCTTTGTGGGATACTGTAAGTGGTAGTGTTGGCAAACGACAGGTTTAGGCACTCTAGTTTAAGGCAGCATTTGAATGGCAAGTGGTTGACTTCTGAAAACAGTCATTAGCTTGCAGTGGTGAATCTCTCTGGTGGTGTTCCAGGTTTTCAGTGCTCACAACAGGTTACTGAAGTGCTGAAGATGGACTGCAGTTCTAGGAGTTTCTCTTGATTGTATCGTAGGCTAGAGCTGAGATGTGTTATTTCCCCAGATCAACACAAATACATTACGGTCTCTTATCAGTTATGCCAAGAACTGGAATGTAATGATGGTTGCAGTGGTATAGTTATAGCAGCATACATGGATACTGGGATGAAACTCTAGTGCTGAAGATATTTAAAGAAAATGATTTGTTACAAAATAAGACAAGCAATGATGGCAAAGTGTTATGCAGACATGCCTGACTGTCCTAGGCATGCAGGAGAGGGTTAATGGCGAGCATGGAGGTGGCACAGGCAGACTGATAACCAACATACGGTTCTGAACGACTGCCGATTAAAATGAGTTGGAAAAGAGCATAATTGAGATAACCAAAACACAGCACAAGCTAAAATACAGTTTGTGCCTCTGGGACAACCTAGGACAATGAAAATAAAGCATTTTTAGGAGCAGTAGCCTTTTTACTGTGGTAATGGAACTCTATTTTCCTGCACAAACTGAAGAATTTGTAATACGTCCTTACCTATGTATGGAGATGCTAAGATGTTAGTGACTAAATGTATGTCTGCATGCATTCATGCAACTAGCTTTTCCCCTTGGGCCTCCCAGCCTAGTACCCCCCCCCC